CTAACTCCATGTACTTCCGAATGGGATTGTGTTTGGAGGCAGGGCCTTTCACAGGAAATTAAATTAAAATAAGAACGTAAGAGTGGGCTCACTCCTAACACGACTGATACTTGTGAATAAGAAAAAGAAATGTAGGCATAGAAGAGACATATTGGTTGCGTACACACGGAACAAAGATTTCATGGGAACCCATGAACGAGGCAGACCCCGGCAAGACGAAGAGGCAGAGGCTTCAGAAGAAACTAGATCTTTTATACCTTTTGACACAGCAGGTCTAGCTTCTAAACTTGAAAAATATGTCCTTCATTTAACCCTCCTATTGTGCACCGATATGGCATCTGGGGGTGGAAGGGAGGACCCAGGATCCCCTTGATGTAGGTCGACTGTCCTAGTCACAGCATCGTTGTGGAGCAGCTCTCTTATCTCTTAGGTACATCCTCTTGATGAGGCAGGAAGAATTGGTTGTCAAATAGGAGACAGGAGTCTTTTCTGCTCTGTGTAACTCGATGTGCAGCCCTTCCTTCCTTCCTTCCTTCCTGTGTTGCCAAGGTCTAGAGTCATTAATTCGTTTGTCCGTGTTGTTTCCTGTTCGTCCCTTTCTATTTGTGAGGTTTATTGATAATACAATTAGATAACTTTGTCCATTTCTAACCATAATAGTTACTGAATGCTTATTATGTATGCAGGACTAGTCTAAGTGTTAGTGAGGATGGTCAACACAACAGATGTGAGCCTCTGCTGTCACAGAGTGTATTTTCTGATTGCTCCAATTTCTGTAGTCTTACGTTTTCCAAGTAGATTTCTAATGATCATTTTCTACACAGTCCAATAGGAGATTTTTTTAATAATATAAAATTATTCTTGCCTTGCTCTTTTTTTTTTTTTGTGAGATGGGTACTGATAGCCCAGGCTGGTTTCAAATGTACAACCTGCTACCTCTATCTCCCGTATCCGAAATTGAATATGCCATCACACCAGCTAACCTTCTTCAAAAGAAGGTTAAAAAAGATGTGAAAACCTATCACATCTTTTTTAAAAAAGTAATTTTTGGTACCCATGCTTCTTCATAGATAAAAGTTCTTATGTGTTAGATTGGCATTCAAAACTGACATTTTGGGATACTGAAATACATGGTTCTGGGAATTAATCACACATTCATTCCTTATTAAATTCTTTTAAAAACATCCATTCCCTCATGTTGCTCTGAGTCCCCTGCTAAAGGTCCTCTAGCCCTGAGCTTGTGTTGTTCAGATTTGGGGCAGATACAGTGTGGGTATGAGTCACTGATGGCAAGTTCAGGCAGGACGGGGGTTTTCAAATCTTCAACTCTAGAATCTGGATGGGGAACCTAGTTCCTTTGCATGACTTTCTCTCTTAAAAAGCAGCTGATTCTTTAAGAATAGCCACGACTTTAACTTTTTTTGTTTGTTTCCATTTTCCTTCTGGCCAGAAATGTGGGTGTTTTAAAGGAAAGCAAAGCCATGGCCTTTTGAATACCTCACTGAATTAGTCAGCTTCTAGACAGGAAACATGTTACAATCAACACGATTTAACAGAAAAGAACACAACTGAGAGACTGTTCACAGGGGTGTTGGCAGGACCCAGGCAGCTAGCAACACTGGGAAACCATTCCACCCAAGCCCTGCAGGGCATTGGAAGGCAACATGACCATTAGAGACCTATGCCACCCTGAAGCAATAAAAAAGAAGCTGCTCAGGCTCTGATTAAACCTGTCATTCTCATCCTCAGGCTCAACCTACAAGGCTATCCCTTAAATCCTTTTATGAATCCCAGACCACTGAGGACCCTCCCATCCTTCATCATCATCCCCCATCTCACCAGGGAACTACTACACCCTAATTGGATAAGTCCAAATTTGTCTCCTATCTTGAGTCTCTCCTGCTCAGTGGGGGCCTCCAAAGACAAAGCAAATCAACACAAAATGAAACAAAGACCAAAACCCCAAGAAACTATCCCCTTTCCTATTTCCCCATTGCACAACCAACTCACTTCTGCCTTTCTGCCCTTTTCCCCGGTTGGTGAAACCTTTTCCCTACGCCAAGCCTGCCTGCCACTTTGCCTTCGTATATGCTGCTAGCTGTTCTAAATGTTATTTAGAAGGACATATCCATAGTGCGCCCTCTTTTACCTACCCAAGGAGATTCCTTATTTTGCTCTATATTTTTGGCCTTTGTGCCTTTCGATGGCTAATTGATCTTACTTCTTCCGAAATTAAACAGAGTCTGTGTTAGATGGCTATAAATATCTTCGGTATTAATCTGGACTTTGACCCACTCAAAACCTGCTTAACTGGGTTCCAACACCCCCTCACGTTCTCCTTTAATGGCATACCTTAACCTCATATGGGGGCAGCTGTGACTTTCACTTTTCTAATGTACCATTAAAATCATCAACAGCTCAGTGTTTTGGTTTTTTTTTTTTTTTTTTTTTTTTTTATCTCCTGCCTCAATACTGAATGTGTCATATTTTCTTTGTGGGATCTAGACCTGTCTCTGCTGCCCAGCCAATAGAACTGAAATATGAATCTTGCCATCTATCCTCCTCAAAGGACATTTAAGGATAAGAGTATATATTCCTACAATTGTATACATCTCCAGCCCAAACAAAAAGACCGGAGGCTATTGCAGTGTTAGTTTCTTTTGGCCTCATTTTAGTCATATAGGTACAAGAGTGGGGAGGCCTTATGAATGCCCAGAGCTCCCTAGAACTCACAAGGCAAATAACTACAATAGCCTTGAACTTGCAGTAATATGGGACCAATTAGATTTACTTATAGCCTTCATACTCCAGACCTATCATGCTGTGGATTTACTTATAACTGCTTAAGCCAGAGCCTGTTTATAGACGAATGCTTAAAAAAGCCTTTGCTTCTAAAGACAAAAAGTTTGAACAAGTACAACAAAATCTCCAAAAATATCATTAGAAACACCAGTGATTTTCAAAAGCAAGGAATAAAATGGAACCTTGGCTGGTGGGTTTTTAAAGATTTATTTTTATTGCATGTGTTAGTGTTTACCTGCATCTGTGTATGTATGTGCACCACATGTATGCTTAGAGCTTGTTGAAGCCTGAAGAGGGCATTGGATCCCCTGGAACTAGAGTTACAGACAATTGTGAGCCACCATGTGGGTGTTGGGAACCTAATCCAGATCTTCTGCAAGAGCAACTAGCACTCTTAAAAACTAAAGCAACTCTCTGGTCTTAACTGGTAAATTTTTAATAAATGTCTGTGGGCCTGTGAGATGGCTCAAAGTGTACAGATGTTTGTCTCTGGTCCCTGGAAACCAGTGGGAGGAAAGAATGGGCCCTTGCAAGTTGTCTTCCAGCCCATCATATTGACATTTAGCATACAGGAAGAAGAATGTCATACAGACTCTGTCTTTTCTCTCTTCCTTCTGATTTTTATTACTTCTGGTCAAACTCAACCGAAAGCACAAACGAGTAGCCCCAAGTGGATACATCTATGGATGTCCGTCTCCCAGGGTAGAGCTTGGTAAAAAAAGTTAAAATAATCTAGGGAGAAAAAAAGAAAAGAGGAAATACTGTCATTTTAAATGTTCCCTAGAACTACAGAAAATTCAAAACAGAACCATATATGGCTGGGCAGCTAAAAATATCCCCAAGCCTGCTTTGCTATACTTTCCTACTTCACACTTAGTTTAAAGAGTGCTTTATTATAGGGATGTGCAAATTTGTCTTGTAAGGGCTTTGATAGTACTTTAGACTTTGGGCTTAAAAGGCAAAAATCATAAAAAGATTAGATATTTTTAGTTCTTTAAAATGTAGTATTTAAAAAATTATAAAAATAGTCACTCAAATTCAGTGCGCTGGATTTGACCTATGGGCAGCAGCTTTGTCAACCCCTGACCTAATTTCTGCTCTAATTTTTGGTCTCCGATTTTAATGTCCTGACCTCTCACACTAGGATTCTGAGCTGAGATGGAACACCAGCTCATGCCAGTGGCTGAAGTGATCCAGTGGACTTTGAGAAGAGGCTGGGGCGAGATTGCAGAGTCTAGCAATCCTGGGAGCAAACCTCGAAGCTAGGAGGAGGAACTGTTGTGCTACTGTGTTTCCATCAGAAAGTACCCTTTTCTTTGCTTTCTCCTATCCTTGGTTACATTCAGTTCAGCTCCCTTGTCTGCTAGTAAGTGTGACCTTCCACTCAGGAAGCAGAAGACTAATTTGCTACCCTGCCCTTTATGTAGCAAGCCCGGGGAAGCAGTCTGCTCCACCCGATTTGGTCTCACACCCATTCTTTAATAAATATGCATGGCTTGTGGACTAATGGACTGAAAGATAAGAGCAGCTTAGGGCAGGCATGTTCCCTTCAGATGAGACAGTTCCCAAAGGAAAGTGAATGCGTGTACCCACGGGGAAAAGTATATCCACACGAAAGCCGGCCCATTTCAGGGAAACACAAATGTCAGATTTACAGACCAGTGCGTGGCATGTTGGAACAGTGGGAAGCCAGATACAAGTCACAATCTCACCACCCCAATACCGAACATCAGATTTGGTAGACATTTATTGGTTATTGCTGAATGAGGATGACTCACTTCTCCCGGGTGGCTGTGAACACTCTTTTTTTTTTTTTTTTTTCCAGAAGAGCCCAGAATTGTTATTAATTCTGTGTGCTTCAATTCAATGTGTGGTTCCCCTTTTTTTAAAAGGTGCATATATACGCTCAAACCCTAGATACAAGAGAGCCGGCTTGGCACTCAGTAAGCATCTTATTTAAGTCTCCAATCTCAGAGAGGCTCTCAGACAGGACCGATCCCGTCGGGCTGGCAGGTGCAGCCTGCGGGTCCGGTCCCGGGACCTCCAGGACAGGGAGCTGCGGGCCGGCTGGCCGGGGCTGGGCGCGGCAGGCACACCAGCGAGGAGGAGGAGGCGGTCTGGCTCGCACGCCTGTGCGTGCGGTGCAGCCCTGCAGCTCCCGCCCCCCCGCCCCCCCCCCCCCCCCCCCCCCCCCGCCGCTGCCGCCGCCGCCGCCGCCTTTCTGTCTCCTCTCTCCCTCCGTACTGGACTCGGGTGCATTTCCGGCCCGGGGGAATTTGGCTTCGACCCGGCCGGGGCGCGCGGGTGGCTGCGGCCGGCGGCCCGCGGGGTGGGCGTGCGCCGAGGTCTCCGTGCGCCCGGGGGCCCGAGCGGCCGCCATGGCCGACGTGAGTGTGGATCAGTCCAAGCTGCCGGGCGTGAAGGAAGGTAGGCCGGGCCTCGCGGGTCCTGGGCAGCGCGGTGGCGCGGGGCGGCGCGGGGCGGCGCGGGGCGCGGGGCTGGCCACGCGCGCGGCGACCCGGCCTGGCTCGCCCGGGGCTGCGGGAGGCCCACGGCCCGGGCCGCGCGCGCGGCCTTGTTCTGTCCAATGGACGCTTCATGTAGTAGAAACCACAGCCCAGCCAGGCTGGCCGGGGCCAGGGGGCGTTCAGAGTGGCGCCTTTGTTTTGAAACATGACCCTCTCCTCCTGCTCTTTCTGCTCCCCTCTTCTCCCTCCTTTCTTTCCTCCACTCCCTCCCTCCTTCCTTCCCTCCCTCCTCTCTCTCGTCCTCCCCTCTCCCTCCTTTTCCTAGCCTAGTGTCTGGCTGGCTCTTTCTCACCTTCCGAAAGGTTTTAACGTTGCAGGCTTGCAATGGCCTTACATGGATGGACCCCCAGCTCCTTATAAGCCTGTCTCCCCTTCTTTTGAATGAAGACCAGAATGGAAGGGAGTGTTGCGACGCTCACTTTTCATGGCTCCCTACATTGAAGTCCAGGAAAATAAGATTGACTAGTCCTGGCCAGGCCTAGCACTGCAAATAGCCTTCATCACATGCCCTCGGGCCTAGCATTTTTTTCTTTTCTTTTTTAATTATTTTGGTTACTGACTCACCTTAACCTCACTCGTTGGCTCACTAGTCTTAGGAAGCATTGAAGTTCCAGACTTAAGGATTTCAAAACCCAGACTGTTCAAGAGGGCTGAACTAGAGCCAGAAGCTCTACAGGGGCCTTTGTTATGGATCCCATTTGTTTCTTCTGGGATCTGTGGCCAACCATGGGGAGTGTGGAAGTGATAAAGAGTTTGTTTTCTTGGGACTTGAGGTTTAATTGCTAACTTAATGTGACTCAAATGGTCTTGCTCAGGCCAACCTAGAAATCCCAAGACTGTTAGTGACTGCTTGGCTGCATTTGCCCCAGAGTTTCAAAGGAGCCAGTGGCTGGTAGTCAATGATTTTATGTTCAAAGTGTAGTAGATTTGGATCTGCTCCTTTGTTTCTAAAGGGTAATAATGTCCTCAGGCTAAGCTTTTAGTGTTAGTATTTTTCCAGCGTTTAGGTTCCTAGCTTGACTTTGGTTATTACAGTTTTTAGTTCACCGAGACTGAAGAGGTGAATGTTGGGGAAGACAGATGGGTTCTTTACCATGAGACCTGTCTAGAGCTTGTCTCTCAGAGGTTGTCTCTTGCCAGATAGGGGTTTTGTGTACGTACATGTGTGTTGGTTGGTTTTATGTCTGAAGAAAAAGTGTTCCCTTGGTAGTACTCTCATTGTTTGTGGGTGTGGGTAGTACTCTCATTGTTTGTGGGTGTGGGTAGTACTCTCATTGTTTGTGGGTGTTGTGGAGGAGGATGAGACTTGGAGTTCAAACAAAGCCTGACACACCAAGTTTCAGCTCCCTGGTGCTGTGCCTTCCCCAACCCTCCATCTTGTATCAGTGACCTGGAAAGAACTTAATGTTTGTGTATGCTCTGAAACGCTGAGGTCTTCTGATTTCTTACTAAGACGTGCCTCATTCGCGCTAGTATCTTATTTCTCAAGGAGTTCCACACTTTCCATCTAAAACTGTTTTTCATTCCCAAACACTAAGAGTTTTAATACATTCCAGTTGGTTTTCCTTCTGAATAACACGCCTGGCAATCCTGTTTGCATACTCTGATAGATTGTTGAGGAAATTTAGTGTGGCTCTTTCACGTGTCTTTGTTAAATTAGAATTTGCTACTTGCTCCCTTGGAAGGAGTCAGAAGCTGTTGAGATCATTGTCCTTGGGAACACCTGCTTTTCTGGCTCTAAGATCATCAAAGGACATGATGGATTTACTAGGAGCACCCCCACAGCGGGGAGATTTTGATCTGGGAAGTAGTCAAGTCTAATAACTTGTATCTTTCTTTCATATAATTCTTAATTATGGCCCAGTTACCACCTAACAATATCTTCCCCCTAATTAAAGAGATCTCGAAGGTGCCCATGATGAAGCAGAGCATGCCCTGACGCTGTATAGCCCGAAAACTCTTAGCTAAGTCCAAGGGACTTAGCACTTTGCTTAATATTTTGGTTCAGGTTTTTGAATTTCATTAAGAAGATTTCTATCTGTGTTTTCCATTTTTCTTTTGAGTTTAAACCTTGGTGAGTTTATGTACAATTATAGTTGACATCATGGGTGGTTCCAATAGAGGCTGGGAAGAATGTGTGTGCCCTTCCCACTGCCCTTTCTTTAAGAGAGGGTAGGACACTTTGATCTTTGATGTATCAAGAACAGAGATCAGGGTACCGGAATATTTCCAAGTCTTCTTTCCTAGGTTATGGTTTTATGGAGGTCAGAGCTTCCTTGGGAAGACCCTTTATACACACAGCTTGGAAGTGTATATGCTCAAAGCCAACAGATTAGGAGACAAAGACGTTTGAGTTTATACAGGTGAGAAGAGTTGAGTCAGCTAAACGTCAGTACATTCCTGTTTCCTAATCAAAGTAGATTTGGAACATACATATACTTTTGTAATGGAAAACGACTCTTCTCTGTCAGTCTTCTCTTTTTTTTTTCCATTCAGTGGTTCTCCAAATCTTGTTTTGTGTTCTTATTGTTCAGATGCAAGGCTCATCATTTGCCTTGTCCGTAATAATCTGCACTCTCCACCCCCTTGTGTGCATGTGAGTAGCAACATGCTTAACATCTAAAATCAGTGCACCCAGGAGTGACCTGTTTTTAGTGTATAGGCCCTGTTTATGAGCCAATGCTTTTTTATAATCAATAAAATTTAATACAGTTTTAGAAATAGCTATACAAAGAGTCATCCCTAGAAAGTGCTGGTTGATTTTCCGTCTAAGACTCCCAGGTGGCACAGTGGGGTAAATTAAATGAATGGTGTAACTTCAGAACTTCAGGAGGAAGATATTTAAAACAATCCCTGGCACGGTAAATTACCCTGTTGTTCCAGAGATCCAACACTTAATGCCTGCCGTTTCGGCAGCTGATGTGGTATCAGCATTTGTCTGGTTCCAGGGTGAGTTTACCTTTCTTTTTCTTCAAAGATCCACAGCAGATTGTGCCATTTTTAATGAGACCTTGATTCGTCTGTTTGGAACTTTTTATTTATCTCACTGTATTCTCCTCATCTACATCCATGGCTTTTATGGAACCAGCAATTATTCAGGCAATATTTGAATATGTGATTGAATGAATAACTGAATGAGTGAGTACACATATTTTAGATGTTCCCTGTATGCTTAGAAAGTCTATGGTAACGTAACTCTTTCAGATTCCTTCTCAGACTATAGGCTTCTAAAGCCATAGTTCCTTTTAGTTATATCACATACCAATAATGCCACCATTGAGTTTAGAAGGACACACATCCTACATATACACGTGCATATATATACACATTTATGTACATATATATCTTGTAAGTAGAATTCATCTAATATAAACATGTAAAACATACAAAGAAGAAATTTCTTCCTTTATATTATGGCTTTGGAAATAATATTGGAATAAAATTATACTAAAACCATTATTTTCTTAAGTACAAAGCAGTGTGAAACAATTTGGGAGCTGTATGGACAGATTTAAAAAAAAATCTTTTTTTTTATTTTATGTATTTGGGTGTGTAGTCTGCATGTGTCTGCACTTTGTGGGTGCTTGGTGCCTGTGGAGCACAGATATAGGGATTGGAACCCCTGGAACTGGCATTACAGAGGGTTATGAGCTGCCATGTGGGCTCTGGAAATTGAATACAGGGCTGCTGGAAGAGCACCCAGTGCTCTTAATATCTGAGCCATCTCTCCAGCCTCCAGATATAGATTTTTAAATAAATCTGCTCGTTGCCATATAAGGTGTGAGGGTAGCTCCATAATACAAGTGCCCTGGGCTACATGGCTGTGATCTTGACTGCATGCAGTTTATACTGCATGGAGTTATTTATGGTTTTGAGTGCAGTTTATGCTTCATGGAGTTTTTTCTTTTCTTTTCTTTCTTTTTTTCTTTTTTCTTTTTCTTTTTCTTTTTTTTGTTTTTTTTTGTTTTTTTTGTTTTTTGTTTTTTGAGAAAGGGTTTCTCTGTGTAGTTTTGGTGCCTGTCCTGGAACTCACTCTGTAGACCAGGCTGGCCTTGAAGTCACAGAAATCCGCCTGCTTCTGCCTCCCAAGTGCTGTGATTAAAGGCGTGCACCATCACCACTTGGCACATGGAGTTGTTTAAAACAACCCCCAGATTGAGCTGTCTGTGCCATGCCTGTAATCTCAACAAGCAGGGGGATTATACATTTGAGTCAATCTTGAGCTATATAGTGAGACCTTTCTCAGAAACAAAACAAACTTGTACATGTTACAGTCATATGTGTTCTAAAAATACCTCCTGCTTAAAGAGGTAAAAAAAGCCCATCACTTTATTGCACTATGCAGGCAAGTAATAGAAAACAACAACAAACACACACACACACACACACACACACACACACACACACACACACACACACACACACACCCAATCCTGCAGGTATAGAGAGTATAATTGCCATTTTTAAAACATAAAGCTCACTGTCATTTTTTAAAAGATAGAATAGAAAGCACTACAAACTATGTATGCTGGCAAAGTATTCCTTTTCATTATGAAACTCCGGGAACCAGAGATGGGCAATGAGTAGTAGGACTGAACAAGTGATGTCATTAGTGGGATTTGCTGCTGTCAGTCATCCCCTCCTTCCCTCCCCTCCTTCCCACCCCTCCTTCCCTCCCCTCCTCCCCACCCCTCCTCCCCACGTTTTCATTTGAATTGTTGTGTGGATGTGTAAGTAGAACTTCTGAAGTGCTTCCTGTAGTGTTATCATGTTTAAAAAGTGGAATGAAAATTATGCATGACTAGACTGTTTCAGGGATTTTTCTGAGGAGTTATTTTGGGGGTAATTTTTCCTATGATGCTTTATAACCTTTATTTTTTAACTGAACATTTTTTTTCA